GGGGGGACTGCGGTAAGTTGAGGGCACGAGTGTTATGAACGCACACAACGCCTCCGATACACAACAATAGGAGCCTAACAGGCCTAAAGGCACTAAAGGCAAGACCCGGTGATTTGTATGGGAGGTGCTTTATAACACTATCGCAAGGGCAACATCCAAACAGCACATTCAAATTATGCACCTTTCCGATGGCATCGGCTGGCATCGAGGCTGGAAAGCTATTTAGGACTTTTACGCCGTTGCCGTCGCTTGAAAACGTCAAAACCTAGTGAAATTTTTTAGTAGGATAGGATAGGCCGCTGAGCTCAGCGGGGCGGCGTGACGGGCCGGCCTACCGCCCAGGCGCGTGGTTAGAAGAAGAATCGGGGGGAAAAGCGAGGGAAAACTACGTGGCATAAGGCCAGGTACTCGACATGCGTGGGGCCTGGGTGGGGTGAAGAGGGTCGGCCGTCGGCCTGTCACTGGTGTGACTAGGGTTGATGGCAATATCGCTCGGAAGTGAGGTGGGTCGAGAGGGAGAGAGGAGCGGAAAAGGGGGAAGGGGGGGGGGGCGACCGAGGCAGGCACTTTGCGGCTTCAGCCTGCTCTTTTGTTTGCGATTGATAACACAACTACAGTACCTGGGTGGCAACGTGCACTGTAACGTTTCTCGCCCGGCGACACAAAACCATCTGTGTGAGTCTGCCACACGCGCGAGAACGAGCTGGCGGGGCGACGGCCCCGTCTCGTCTCACTCCCAGTAGCTCTCACTCGGAGCTGCATCTCTCTCGCACGCACAGGAGCTGGGGCTGGAGAGGGGAGGGGAGGGGAGGAGGAGGAGATAGATGTAGTGTAATAGAGGATGGGCGATGGGCGGGGAGGGCGAGAGGGGAAAGGCGGTTCGTTTGGAAGCGGAAGAAAATAATTCGTATACGGAGCAAGCAACGGAGCGCGGCGGCGGCTCAGCTGGGACAACAATGAGGAGATTGGCAGGGGGTTGGAGAAAGGGAAAGGAGGAGGAGGAGGGGTAAATAAATAACCGAAAGAGCCCACCGGGTGGACCCGACGGAAAGGGTCGGAGGAGGACGACGACGGGGCTGAGGACTTGATTTACGATTCCGCGAGTAAACCAACGTGCACGAAATTTAAGACCGCCACCCGCTGGCCCCGCCAACCCCCGCGTCGTCTCCTCTTGTCTACGTCGCTACGACGTCAACCCCCTCCCCCCAACCACCACCACCACCACCACCACCACCCGGCCCAGCCTCCCTCGCCTACCCCCCGCGAGGCCGATCTGCCGACCGAGACGTGCCTGGACGTGCGCTGGAGGGCTAAGCAAGCAGCACAAGGGCGCGTCGCTGATGTGAGCCCGAGACGCTAACTACATACCTACACCACCGTGGAGATCCCCCCGACGGCCGTGTCATCCTTCCTCACACGCTGACGCACATCACAACTACATGTTGGCCGACAACATTGTGTGCACCATATTGTATTGCATCGTCGCTACGCGAACCTTCACATTCCACCACCGATATTGCGAAATCAAATCGAGAAAGAAGTGTGAGAGGTTGCCTGTTGCCGCACGTCTCCCCTTCCCCTCACCCCCCCTACGAATACCCACGCCACAAGCGAACTTTTGACGACCTAAAAGCGTACTGGTGAACCATGTTCGCTTTTGGTACGTCAAGTGCGCAAATCGACACCTATGCGCACAGAAAACGAAGTCGGACGAACTTTCACGGCGCACCTGGGCGTACTCATGGCGTACTTCAATGCAGATCGCGGTTTGTACGTCCCGGGTTCGTCAGAGCGGACCTCAAGCATACAAATAGTGAACATTTTTTTCGGCTCGGGAAGGCCATATTAGCGAATGCATTAGCTAATTTAGCTAATTCTTTTTTTTCCGTGTCCCTTTACCTATGTCGACGAACGCTACAGGAACGTGCGAAAGAAAAGGGGTTGCCCGCTTGTCGCTGCCTAGTTGTAGAAATCAGAATCACGTCACGTGCAGCGTGGCACTCCTTCCGCAACCCGGAATGATTATTTCCTTAATTTCATTTCACCCGCGACCATTTTAGGTGAATGACTCTTGACTACGGCAAGATAACAACCATTTGAAATTATATTTCGATTGTTGAAAACCATTTCTTCTTCATTTGCAAAGATACGCTTATATTTCTGTAACCTCGCGGTGAGGCATTCGGTCGCCTCCGTTGCTGGGTGTCGCGAATGACGTCTAAATGGTACTCTGAGAAGGGTCAGTCTAAAAATCGTCATCAGACAATTAATAAGACTTGCTGGTTTAAACCAGCAAAATTTTGTTATCTGCCGAACGTCAGTGGATAGCGGAATCTTGATCTCAAACTTCAATAACAAACTGTAGCCAAAAATCTGGCAAAACAAACGATGCCCGTTTAGTATTTCCTCCAAGACGACAAATCGATAACGGCGACCAACTTTTTAGCTGCAGCCATGATGTGGCAAACGACTCCTAGTCCCCACAACGCAATAAAGTTGGATTCCTGCTATTAGCGGTTCTGATCGCTACGATCAACCCGTCGGCTGTCGCAACTAACGTGCCGCAGCTATGCCGCTTGGTTGTCACAATCAGAAAGTCGGTACTCCTGGTATCTATCGAGGGAAATGGTCGTAGTCGACTTTTGGTTGCCACAACCAACCATTTTTTTTCCGTGTGTGGCGGCAGGGTGAGGTCAAGGGGAATACATTCAAGATACGGCTTTTCGGGGAGGTGTGGGTGAAAAGCGGCCTAACATCGTAAAAATACGAAAGGTAGTTTATCACGGAAAAAAAAGATTCGCTGAGTCAGCTAATATATTGACTGGTATCTGGACAGACAAGCTCATAAACTTCTGTAACCCCTATATTGTCTACTCTAATCAATCATTGGCTGTGCCAGTCAAAAATTAGCTGTAAGAGCTTATCCCTTACCTGAATCAGTCGAGGTCTACCTTACTGATGCAGGCAAATCATTACTTCATACAACTAATCATTGACTGGCACAGCCAATGATTGATTAGAGTAGACAATATAGTGGTTACAGAAGTTTATGTGCTTGTCTGTCCAGATACCAGTCAATATATTAGCTGACTCAGCGAATTTTTTTTTCCGTGATGATTCTAAAATGTACTCCAACTTTTTTCTAAAAAGGCCTGTCTTCTGGCAGGGAAACACAGCCATATTAGTGCAATAGCCATTTCCCTTAACACATTGAGTCCCACGTGACCACACGTAAGGTCACAAAAACACGTCCCCCCCCCCCCCCCCGGGACTCAACGTGTTAAGTGGACAGTTTGGTGGAATTGGGAAGTCATAGAAGCCTATGTTTCTGATAATTTTCTTTTTTAATTTAGTAAAGCACTCACAAAATACGACCTTCTCAAGCTTTCCCTGAAATTAAGGAGCCACCTTAAGCTCTGAAAATCTCTAATTTTGCTAAAACCGGCCCATTATTTAAAAGTTCTATGCACAAACTGGTTTGAGGTGTAGTGCCAACTCTTATGTTAACATTTTCCATTGTGCACGTAGATTAAACCCGGCATGGATATCAAAATCAAACAAGATGTTTGTTCCTAGTACATTTTCCGAAGGGAAGCTCATGAAAACTCCTAAAGAGTTAGTATTTTCTTAACAAGGCCTAACTCTGCACGGTAAAAATAGTTTCTTGTATTACAAGAACTGTCTCGGATGCCATTTGTTCTCCATATGATCCAAGACACGGTCTTCTAATACAAGAAATTTTTTTTCGCCGTGTGAACCGCACACACTTTTACAGGCCCCACGACCTCCGAAATCCTGGACGGGGCTGAGAAACGCAACGACAGAGGGTAGCGTGTGTACTCAGGCGACGTTTACTGGGCAGCTGATTGGATCAGAAGATTGTCTTTTCCTCAATGTATACACACCCAAGGTAAGGGCAGGGCTGAAAAGGTCTTATGCAGCAGCTGAAGTATCGCCCGCCATTTTGGATTTTTTATTTAGGTCAAGATACTGCACACAAAAGTATACACTTTTTCAGGGATAGCTTGATGAATGGAGATATGGAGAAGTCTTTTACTTTTCTCAGCTGAAGGGGGTCAGTTGGTAAAATAATCCTGAATCTTGCTTTTTTCAACCCTTAATACAACAGAAACGGTGCATCACAGACACCAAGACTTTTTTCCCTTCTGATCAATTGTGTCTTTTTAAACAAAAATATTTTTTGAAACTTTGCAAAGGGTTTGATGGTTTGGCTTCCGGAAAAGCTGCAAAATAATGCTGAAAACGTGTACGTACAAAATTTACGCGCAATGTAACTTCAATAAGGTTTGTCTGAGGAAAATAAGATTTTTCACAAATTATTAATTTTATATAGGTACATGTCAGAAAACTATACGCAACTCTGTCCTGAGGGTATTTGGTGGTAATTACAGCATCAATCGATGCAAAACTTCCATTAGAGTTGTACTTTAAGCTCGGTTCCACAATTTGTGTTGCTATTTTTTCACTTTTAACTCATCCTGAGCTATGAAACTGAATGAAATGTGTCCTGTAACCTTCCCTCGACTATGTCCCTCCAGCTCACCCTCAACATTCAATTGCAATTTACTTTTATTTCCTTTGATTAGAAGTGGTCCCATTATTATTTTGGTGCAGCTAACTTTTGTAGCTATTAAACACAACCGGGTCAAGTTCTCAAAATCACTTTTTCAGTCATTAAAAAAAGAAATAATACTTTTATCCCTTACATTTCCTAAGACCTCTCGCACATGCGACCGAGGTAGCTAAATGATCAGATTTCATAACCTAAACGGTTCGAAGAGGCATATGTGCGTCCACTTAAATAAAGTATATAACCTCAAGAATGCACTCACTGTATAAACTACGTGAAAGTTCGATCGTGTAATATTTTTTTAATTAAAAGAAAAAGGAGTGTGCCAGCGTAACAGTCGCCATGCACGTAATTACCACATCTTCAAAACGGCAATAGAAACAAAAATAGGTTACGCCGAACGGTAAATAATATACCACACTGTTTGTAACCGACGGCACAAACATAGGGGGGTGAATTTTGGGCTCGCATTGTTTTTTAGCCCGCCCTTCTGCTTTTAAAAAAGCAGTAAAGCGGGCTTATGCAACCGCTCTCGTGTCCGTCCGTCCGTCCGTCCGTCCGTCCGTCTGTCTGTCCGTCTGTCGTCCAAGTAAGAGAAAGATGAGCTAGAGGTCAGCAAATTTCAGGGTATTTTAGGGGTCACTCCTGGACAACGGAACGCCTGGTGCAAATCCTGGCAACCACCTCTAAAGGGGTAAAAGGGTGTAACAAAGAAATAGGGGTTGGTCCAAAAAGTAGAAAAAAAAAATATAAAAAAATTATGGTCTTAGGAGTAACTTGTGAAAGTAGAGTCCTGTGGGAAAAAAGTTTGTGGGTCATTCTCCAGAAAACGGGCAAAAACGTGTCCAGCACTTTTGAGGTTACCGAACGGACAGATGCCCATGAGGTTGATAGGGGTTTGAATGGTAGGACGCTACTTAGCAGTAGGTACATCAGAACCCTATCAACCGTATGCTCGTTTGAAAGGTTTTTTCAAGAGGAAGACAATTGTGCAGTCAAAATGACAATAATCCTAGTGCGTTAGGAGAAATCAGCGATAAACGTAAGATGAGCTCGATCGAAAGAACTTGTCAAAAGTAAGCTCATGGTGTGATCGAAACCACGATATCTTGCCTACATACAGAGATAAAGCACATTTTTTGTCTTTCCGGTAACCATCAGATACATTTTTCGTCTTTCCGGTAACCACCAGCCACATTTTTTGTCTTTCCGGTAACCTCCGGACACATTTTCCGTCTTTACGGTAACCTCTGGACACATTTTATGTCTTTCCGACAACCTGCGGACTCACTTCTAGTTTCCGGTACCCTCCGGACATATGTTATGTCTTTCCGGTAACTCCCGGACACTTTTTATGTCTTTCCGGTAACCTCCGAAAACACTTCCTGTCCTTCCGGTAACCTTTGGGTACACTACTACGTTCATTCTTTCACACCTACTGTATGTTCTACCCAGAAGGCAACCGATTTGTCCGCCGCGCCTATGCCACCGTGTCTATCCGGTGACTCCGTAGATTGACAAAAGTGGGGGACAAGCATTAATTTGACTTTTCATGTGAACAAAACATGTTTGGACATGCAACTCTTGTCGCAATCTCAAGTTGGACCTCTGATCTATCGTTTTCATTAGTAGTTTGATCTTAGTTCGAGTTCTGAATAGTTTATATTTCATATTTAAAAAAGTAAGGGACACGATTTTTAGCCTTTTTACTCCGTTTTTTGAGGAACATGTGTGAACTGCTGGGCTATAAAGTTTGAATTGTTGCCATAATTCATTTGAATTGTGTTTCTAGATCAACAACGAATGTTTCAAGACCGTTCCGAAGTACCTAGCTAGAAAAACTGCATTTTGAGAGCAAAAAGACACGAATTTCCTGTTTTCACCGCCCAGGTCTTCGTGCGCAGGGCGTGGCGATTACCCGAACAACGTCTGGCAAAGGTCTATTCTTAAACAAGTAGGACTTGACGCGGTTTCGTGAAAAGGAGAATCATTCGAAGACGAGTAGTAGTGTATCTACCTTATTCTCCTGCACCCACCCGTAAGCAGACTTATCACGTAGACACGACACGAGCGCCCGCAGACCTTCGGTGCTGTCGTAGTTTGTGTGACTGTCGCTCGCAATGCTGAGAGGCGCTGCGCGTCAGGCGCGTCTGCATCGGAAGCACTACGTCAAGCAGAAGGCATTTTCAAAGCAGTGTGAAAACTGTAATCTAAGCAACGTCAGAGGAAGAAAGGCAGATGTTTTGTGTCGGTCGTAGTCTATGATGCAAAGGGCGATGTTTAAAAACCCCAGCCGTCACGATCAATGTCAGGACTAGCCGTAAAATAAGTTATTCTGTCGTCTTCGAGGGGTGCCTTAACTGTGGTAATCAGGTGTACACAGAGTTGGTAATCACTGGTAATCTACACACTCTTGAGGGTCCTTCCAAATGACAAATTTGTTGAATGACAGATGTATTTTTGTGCACATCTTGTCTAAATGCAAACGCCCATATCTAATATGACGTATTTTCATCCCTCCTATGGACAAAAACATAAATTGTCCAATCATAGCATGCAAGTTTGTAACTTGCAAGATAAAGAATTAAGAATTACCTAAAATGGGCACAAAAATATATATTTCTCGGGACACAAAATGGTTGTTTCGATTTAGAATGCAGGCGAATCATACCTAGTATTCATGGGTAATCCTTGGCCGGTGTACACATTTTTATAGAGTTGGGCACCCCTCGGTCGTCTTCAAAGTGCACTTGCAGGTTAGCGGCGACGCAGATTTATTTAATTTTGAGAAACCGGACTCGAGGCCGAAGAGTCACTCAGGTATACAACTATTATACTATACATATTTTTACCAACTGACCCTCAGGGTGTGATAACTTTAAAAACGTGTTTTTTATTTGATCGGCATAATCTTTTAAACAGAAAGACTCATGAACGGGTGATTAGAGCGATACATGTACCAGTTTTACTGCCTATATTTTGTTTTATTTTAGTTCAAAACTTAGATGTACTTAGCATAACGTTCTAGCCTTGCCGTGTGCCCCCAGCCAGTGTGCCGGCGCCGGCATAAGTATTTTTATTTTTTTTTGCATTAGCCAGTGACGTGTCTGTAATAAGATAATAATAATTAGTTCAGAATAATTTGTTCCAGCTCAATTGTACGAGTCTTTTACCAGTTTTGTTCTTCCTTCATTCGAGTGCGTTCATTTTCGGAGATGGTGGATCATCCTGGTATGGCCCTGACTTTCTAAACTACAATGGCGTCCTCCTTGTAACAGCCAACTACCGCCTCGGGCCACTAGGTGCGTTAGCCGGTTTCAACCAACTCGGTGCTTAATATACGATATTATGCTTAGAGTGGTATGTCTTAAGGTGGGCCTGGAACCCATCACCCATCATTTCAGAATTTGCTGTTACTGATGCAGCCCAAGTTTGCTAAATGTAAATTGAAAGTTTGTAATGCAATAACTACATTGAATGTGTAATGCAGTGAACACTGCAGGACTTTAAGTCACCCCAGGTGGCATAGCTGGATAAAATGTGCATTTTTTATCCAGGCACCTTATATGCGCTTAAATGCGCGTATCAAATGGGACATATAATGATGCTCGAATGCAGGTTGCTTCATTTTTCTACCTTGGACGATGATGTACCTTGATTTATTCATATAAACTCTGCTGGGAACCATATCGTTAATTCTACTAAACGCTTGCAGCAGCTATCTTGTTCTCATACACCAACGCCGTTATTTTAGGTTTTTTAAATCTAGAAACAGCAGGAGCGCCGGGAAACGCCGGGCTCAAGGATACTCTGGCGGCTTTGGAATGGACGAAGAGAAACATAAAATCGTTCTGCGGTGATCCCGCGAAAGTAACAGTGGGTGGACATTCCGCAGGAGCAATGATGGCTAATGTACACACACTTTTAGCCCGGAGTCAAGGTAATTGGCTGAGCGATTATTGGCTAAGCGATTAGCAAAACGTTTTACTCCGTCTGGTCGGAAAAAAACGTTTTCTGTCTGTCCGCACGATAACTCGAGAACGTACTGACCTAGCAACTTCAGATTTTTGGGGTCGTTTTGTAAGATGTACGCCAGACCACCTCGCGCGTAACAGGCTTCGCGATATCTCACGAAACACTTTGTTACTCTGCGACGGGCCGGGCATCATACATCTACCTTGGCCAGTGGCGCTGACACACGAGTCGAGTGTTGAAAAAAGTGAACACGAAGGTATGGGCCTAACACGGGTCGGCACTTTCGTGTAGCCTAAAGGGTTGTAATTTTTTCGCTTAATTTTGCCAAATGTCCTCTAGCGCCTCAACGGTGTGAGCTAGATCAACACAGACAAAATTTTCGCCCGATGGGCTCTACATTGACGAGTGGGGGGCCTGTTGTTTTTGATTTTTTTTAAATCAAAGTTTCGAGATAGAATACTCATTTTCGAACTCGATTGGTCTTTTTATGGTAAAAATCTACCTTGTATTTGAACGAGTAGAGCAGCGAAGTGCTTGCTGTTACGCGTTAATCGCGAGTTAACGCTATGTTTCCGTAATATGTTCTTGCTGGATTAGGTTGTAGGAAGAGAAGCGCCGTATGGATTGGACGACTTCTTTCAGCAATGGGATGTTCCAAGTTCCAAGCTACCTAAAACGGAAGTGAAAAAGAACAAACTGACTAATTTTATCTGTTTCCGTCCGCCCAGTTAGAGAAATTACCATGGTAGTTTGGTCCGATCCTAACCTCTCAAATATGGAAGGGAGGTCGAAACTGATGACACTGATCTGACAGTTCCTCATACCTGAACGGCCGTGGGGCTCGTGATTAGCTCGACCACTCGGGGCTATTACTGAAACAGAAAAGTCAGTGAGATTGTCCTCTTTCTTCTTCCGTTTTGGATGGCCTGGAACAACCAACATATTACACGTTTACGCGCTATATTTTTGTTTCATGCAAATTTCTGTGCAAAACTGCAAGATTTCGAATAAAAAATGCAAAAAAGTGTTCAAATCAACTCGGAAATATGTTCAAGAAAAACATATTGCTTTTAAGTGCGGATAAATACTCTACTACTCCAAGTGGTATCCTTACATACGCTTACATATTATTACACTTCACTGTAAAAAATATTTCTGATAAAAATCCCACAAATGTATTTGGAGCTAATACATATGCATGTGTGGGATTTTTCTTATGCTTCTGTATGGGGAAAATCTCATGTACAAGCAGCAGATCTCATAGATGGGTGTAGGATTTTTCCTGTACGAGTGTATTGTAAAGATCCCACATGAGTGCAGCAAATTTTCTTGACAGGTGTGAAGCCGTACGTCTTTATTAAAATTGAAATGATATTTTTGGGGTATAGACTTGGACCTTACTCTCGCTGCACTTTTAGTAATTTACATGTAAGTACGCAATTATAATAGCCGTACCCACCGAAAATGAGGTCAAACTTTGACCGCAAGGTTCCGAAATTGCAACGAAATGGACAACGACCAGTATCGTTTGGGTTGACTATATTTCAATTTTAAATGCGTTCCGGCATGATCGAACACCTGACCCTCGAAAATGAAACGGCCGATCCTCCCTGCCGAGGGCTCCTTTCAGGGCTAGACTAGAGGGGGGAATCACTTGGGTTCGTAGCGTACGGGCTATTTCCTGGTATTTCTCTTTCCATTTCGGTTATTTCTCCTGCCATTTCGGTTATTTCTCGCCTATTCCGCATTATTTCAGGGTATTTCGCGGTATTTCGGAGTATTTCAGGGATATTTCGCGAATATTTTACCAGCCATTTCGGGTGTATTTCGCTCTATTTCGCCTTTATTTCGGACCACATCGGGGGAAGGTGTACGAACTATTTCGCAAGTGATTTCCCCCTCGGCTAGACTCGGATTGATGACGGACTGTCCTGGAACAAACTTGAAAGTGTGAGAGACGATCGGACTATTTTTGGATCAGTCCAAGACAAGTTTCGGAATGATTTCGTTTTGTACTGGTTTCTATACCTTTCATAAAACCTTATTTGACTAAAAGTAATAGGGTAAGGTGCCCAGTGATGGCCAATTTTCTAGATTTGCAGCCAAAATCGTCACTTTACGATCCTGGCACGGAACTAATGTTCTAGTAGGGGAGAGTGGGGCACATTGGTCCGTTTTTTTTCTTTTTGCTCCCAATGCTTCATGTGACGAGCAAGAAATTATTTTCTATCGCCAAGTTTTAGTTTGGT